ACATCATTAGCCTCATTACTGACTGGAAACATGTAGAAACTCCCCATGAGCAGGGATCTGAATAATAGATTAAGGTCAAACTCACAAAGAGTACCCAGGCAGGTGTATTTCCAATGAAATTCTTCAGCGATGAGCTAAGATAATTGTACAGCTCAAATGGTTCACTGATAAGGACTGATGTGATAAAAAATCATCCACATCTTCGGTTTTCATTTCCTTGTTCTTCATGAAGATGTTAGACCAGGATTTTTGTCAGCCTACGTGGTCTCAATCCAACCATCACCCACTGCATCCGTGGTGATGAGCAGCAGATGTCCACGGCAGAGCTGAGGTCACACTACACAGGCCAAGACCTCTGCTCTGATGGCATATTTGTGACATGGTTCCATCCCCTACAGCAACGATCAGCTGCAATAACTGAAGAGGCCCCCCAAAGTCAGAACACATGGAGGAGGCAGGACCTCGTGAAAGATCATGATCCTTGCTGGCAAACTGGAACAGTGTCTCTGTCTCCTGCTGCCCGTCTTTACTCCTACCATGTCAACATCCACTTCTCCGAGTGGAGTGAATGAACACGTCCTAGTGTCAACTAAGCTTATACTACAAACCTGGCATTCACGGACATTACTTCAGCTAATCTTCAGCCCGAGAGACTGCCTCATTGACATTGCACCGTGGCTTAGAGCAATTGACAGACTTACTCACAGTCCCAAAGCCAAGGCTTTGAGAAGGAGCCTAGATTTTTAAGTTTTGTCCTTTCCATGGCACTAAATCTGCCCTCTGTGACACTGACACTGAGTCCTTGTCTCCTTTCCCAGCTCCCTTCTCGATTCCTCCTTCCCCAACCCCAAGCCCCAGAGATATCTTTGCAAGGTCAATCTCAGAGAGCTGGGTGTCATGGTGCCAGTAGTCCCTTCTACCCTGATCCCCACCCCATTATACAATGCCAGGGCCTTTCTGGTGAGAAACTTTCAAGGTCAGTCACTCAAGAAGTCAAGGCTTTGGTGTGGGAAGGGTTCCCTTTGACCTCAGGGCCAAGCCCCTGTCCTTTGACAAGGAAACCACTGATTCTTGGTGGGCCATCATAGATAGTATTCAGACTATTTTATGAAATGTGAGGTAAGAATTCTCCAGCTGTGGGGTGTGAGATAACTTACAGACACACAGGACGTATGTATTAGGAGTGAGAAAGAACTGCTTTATAGACATTATCTTGGTTCTCTTTTGTTATACCCAAGCTTCTTAGTTCCGTCCTTCTTAGTCTAGCTTGGCAGAACTATAGCTCTCTGTGTGTCATTAAAGAATTAACTTAAGCTAAAAGAAAGTTGCAGTTATCTACTACATGTGAGACACTGTGCTGGGCACTGGGGAAAGAATATAAGTTATTTAACACACAGGCCCTGCCTGCATGCAAGAACCTATAGGAAGGCACATAAGAAACCTAAATAAACACTGAAGGAGTTAGAGATGGATCAGACGGCCTGATTAGTTAGAGCAGCCATGGAAAATTGCAATGTAGCTGAAGGGCAAAAAGAAGAGTTTATAGGGAAAAAGGAAGTGATGAGCACAGCAGGGTAAGAGGAATAACAGGACCGAGATATGCATGGATTTAGTTGAAGAACAGTTAATGAACACCTTTTCTCTAATTTCTTGGTTCCTGCATGAAACCTCTTCTAGACAATCATTTCTCCAAAAGGTACAGCTTGAAAAAAAGAGATCTGTGGCCAAAAAGGCCTAAGAATGCTGCATACCACATCCCTTTCTAGAAACCTACCAGTGCATATTAGCTACTAAAGGCTCTGAGAAGTCCTGCAGTGAAGAAACCCTTTCAGTGTTGTTTAACTCAGAATTTCCCAAATTTTCTTGACCACAGAACCCTTTTTCCATACTTGACACCTATTTCCAACCTAGGAAACCACTGCACAAGGGAACATATTTTAGGAAACACTGCCCACAGGCCTCTTCAACTAGGCAGGGCTTCTCATGCTGGGCAGGGGGCAGGGGGTAGAGGGAAACATGGGGTTAGCAACAGAAATCCGCACAGGAGCAAGGTCTCCCCGGATGAGGCAGTAGCAACAGGAATCACCTGCCAACAGGAAGTGTCAGTGAAGGGCTGGAACAGCGAGGCTGTGATCCCAGCTAATTAGAAAAGCTACCTTAGTGCAGATAACATAAGGCAACAGACCAAGAGCACGTGTGTGAGGCACTGATGGACTTACAGCAGAAATCCACCCAAAGAGCCTATGAGCAAGCAACTGGCATCCTACATTTTCATTGTTCAAATGCTAGAGGGAAAGACTTATATGTCAGATTTTAATCTATATAATCCTGAAAGCAGACCTCAGTTTTCTGCCTTTCAAGTTCAGGATGCTAGTTCACAATGATTCACTCAGTTACCCAGTGCTTATTATTTCCAAGGCAGTCATGGATTGTTGGGAGCGGGGGCTATGTCCCTTCCCCCACGTCTGAACGCAGCATGGGAAAGCACAAGCTTGAGAGCAACCGGTGCAGTCCTTGGAAGTTATCTGCTCACAAAAACATATCTTGTCCTTGAAGATGGGCCAAGACTCCTCACTCTGAAAATAGGGAGACCTTGAGGATGTGTGAAAACACCTCCCCCGCCCCCAAAACGGCGAACTCCCCGCTTCTCTTCCGGGTCCTCCATCCCCGCCGGCGCCAACTAAGACCCAATCACCCTTCTACACCTCCCCGCCAGAGCCACCTAAGGTCCAATTATCTCCTGACCCACCCCTTACTTGCTACTTGTATAAATTGAGCCTGTAAACAATAAACTGTGCCAGCTTGATCAGACATCCTGTCTTGCTGGTCGTTCTTTGTGTCCCTTGCTTGTCTCATTTCTGCAGGCGTCTCCGGCACACTCCACGTTCGTCCCGCGGGCCGGGACAATGGATCCCTGCTCTCATCCGACCCTCACACCAGGAGCTCAAGGCAGAGGGGGCAGGACTGTGGGAAGGGCTTCAGACTGCAGACCAGGGCTTCTCTCTTCATATTCCCTCCATTCCAGCTGTGAGTCCAAGTGATTCTCACTTTCAGGAATGGCCCTTGTCTCCGATGTCCTATTTTGCCCCCAACACCAACACCATCAAAATACCCTGGAAACCACACTTCAAGATCCAATTCATCTTTCCCTTCTTTTTTTCTTTCTCAAATTCCTTTTGACAAACACGATCAACTTAAAAAAGACCGCAAGATTTTCGAAAACGTTCAGTGATTATTTGGAAAGCTTATACATGGAAATAGAATATGCTGAATAGTTTTTGTCTATCTATTTAAAAATATGATTGTAAATATATATATAAAACTAAAACAAGAAATGTTCTTCCAGGGTGAGCCACTGTCACTGAAATCGGACATACATGGTGAAGTCAGCAGTTGTGCTCTCTAATGGGTAGGGACACACACATAAAAACCAAAATGGGAGACAGAATAACAAATCGTTCATTTCTGGCTTAGAGCTCTATTCCTCTACTTAAATACAGCTCCGTTTAAAGTCTAGAAAAAATAATTCTGCCCCAAATAATGACATGGTATTTGGAAAGCCACGTTTCGGTACCCTCCCCACCACACTTCTTCCCTGACCATGTCAGCGACAGTCTGTGAGGTGAGAGCTCCTCTTTCTGACGCTGCAAAATGGCAGCCCAAGCAAGGAGGCTGTTTCGAAAATGGGTGAGCATTGAGGAAATTTCAGGGGCATCAGCTGTTACGCATGGGCCAAATGGTTCGGGGAGACAATCGAAGGCCCTAACCCCACTGGTTCTCAACCAGGAGTGATGTCACTCTCCTCTGCCCCCCAGGGGACACTGGGCAATGTCTAGAGGCATGCCTGGTTGTCACAATGGGAGGAGAAGGTGCTGCTGGCATCTAGTGAGTGGAGGTCAGGTATGCTGATTAACATCCCACAGGGCCCGGGCTGGTCCCCCGACAAGAGTTACCTGGCCCAAAATGCCGATGTGCTCTGGTGAGGAGACCCTGAACTAAATCAACAAGGCACACAATGAAAATGATGTGTGAGTGCTATCAATCACTCTGACACAATAATTACACAAAGTGATAGGATGAAAGGTACTGCAAATTCTGACCCAGTAACATATCTGGATACCTCAGCTGGTTGCCACATTATGATGCCTGTCAAGCTTAAATACCAACACAGCCTTCAAATCTGTTAATGAATGCAGATAAGAAGTAACATATTGGATGAAAGCTACAACAATACACCATTGCCCTGATTGATATATTATTTTACTGTTTAAGAGCACAAAGCAGTGAGGTGGGACTGTTGTAACTGTCTCTCTCATTTTTTAAAAGAATAGAAACAGCAAATATTTAAACTGCAAAAATAAACACGAGATACCAGTAAGAGAACAAAATCAAATGTGAGAACTGAGGAGCAGCTCTTAACTAGAGTGATATCATATGCGAGGTCCATTGTGCTAATCCCGTGGTAGTTGATCATGACAGACAGGGCACTTGGAGATAGCTGCCAAGAGATCTCCGTCCCCACAATGAGATGCTATAATGTTCCTGGCAAGACTGCATCTAGTCAGTGAGCGACATCACAAGACTCACACCAACAAAATTTAAAATAGTCATAAAGCACTGCATTACAGGAGATGTGGAGTCCTTGAGAAAGTAGTCTCTGAATTAAGATACAAACTACCTCTCCAAGCAAGATTCAAGGAGACACACCTCTGTTTTCATTTATCGTTTGCTTTTAGAAATCCCAAAAGACATCACAGGTTGGAGAAAATGGTAACTCAAGTGAGAAGTGACTTTATGTAGTGTAGAAAGAAAATGAAGGTAGATAATACGTCCAAAAAGCAAAAATGTAAAATGTTGCTAAATTTATACTAGATTTAAAAATCATAAAAACCAAATTGAGGGGCATTCCAAGCTTTCTGCTACAAACCTGCTGTTTATTATTTCATGTGTTCTACTACAGAATTAATATAAAGTTTTAGAAGTAGGAAAAAAAAACTAACCTTTAAGTTATCAAAGGTTTTGACAGTCTGCGCCAAGTCACTGACACTCCCTGGTGATGCTGTCCCCTGTCCCCTAGGACCTGAGGACACCCGTGAGCCGTCAATGACCTCAAAGCCAGAAAGCAAGGCCTCTGAACAGCTGCAATGAGACTCCTTCGCTCTCTGACCCGCTATCAGGTATGTCTTCAAACCTATGGATAAAAATTACAATCAGCACAGATTGAAACCACCGGTGGATGAAATGCAGCTCGGTCTTGCTCTCTACGCAGGACATGCTCCTGAAAAGTTGAGAGTAAAGTGAAAATGTGAATGTCATATTTTACTGACTTCTATGATATTTACAGAGACATGCTGCCTTTGGGAAAACATTTGCCTCCAAGACACACCATTTACTCACATTATGTTTTCCTTGAATGATGGTTGCATGTTTTACCTTTGGGGGCTGAAATGAGATTTTAAAAGTTCCTCCATCGAAGGGTCAATGACCTCTTTGTGCAGCAGCAGGGCAGACTGATGGTCGATCCTATGCATTCCTTGGGTTTATTTTGGGCAGTCCAGAACACAGCCCACTTTAGCCATGTCAGGGATTGCAAAACTACCATGGGAAGTGGGACCATCATGTGTATCAACTAGGGTAATTAATACCTCCCTTGATTCAGATTATCAATTTTCTGTTGGATCCAAATACAGCAAGAACATTCAGCTTTTCTCAAGCTGGCAGTCTACATGAATTTTACTTTCACAAAATCATCATTTAAAAAAGTTCATTAAACAGACAATTAACCTACATCTTTACATTTCATATCAAAGGCTGAATTAACACACTAACATATGCTACACTGTTAAGTAGCTGTAACAGGCAGATAGGTCCCGGCTCTGGGTATTCAGAACCTATCTTCTGGGAAAATAATGAGCAGCTTTTCTAGATAAGACTCAAGAAGTTTCTGAAAAAGAAGCAAACCTCATTTAAGGAAATGAACTGTTAGTCCATACTGGAATTTAACCAGACTGAAATGTATTGAAGGGACTGACAATGTAATTTATCCAATAAACATTTATTTTAGGGCACACATATGCTATACAGGAATATAACATCAAGAACAAAGCTGGGTCCCTGTCTTGCAGAGTTTAAGCTCTACCACAGATAGTAATGCAAAGCCATCACAGAAAGACTCAATCAAGAGGTGATCTGTCATTACCATTAGCACACATAATGTGTGGCTGGGGGGCACGGGGAAGGCAGTATTAACACAGAAAAGACAAGTAGTGATTCTATAGCATCTTCCTACACTGATGGACAGTGACTGTAATGGGGTATGTGGTGGGGACTTGATAATGGGGGGAGTCTAGTAACCATGATGTTGCTCATGTAATTGTAGATGAATGATAGCGAAAAAAAAAAGAGAGGTGATCTGTCTACGCTGCTGACCCACACAGTTTCTTAAATTCAGTATACAGTAAATATTTTAAAATTAATTAATCAAATACACTAGGGGCTACTTAATCTTTAGTCATTCTACAATTACACCATTTCATTATTTATTATTTCTTCATTTCCTCTCCTCATAAAAAAACTAGATGGCGAGGGGTGGAGCCAAGATGGTGGCGTGAGTAGAGCAGCAGAAATCTCCTCCCAAAACTATATATATTTTTGAAACTACAACAAATACAACTAATCCTAAAAGAGAGACCAGAAGACACAGGATAACAGCCAGACTACATCCACAAGCACAAGAACCCAGCGCCTTGCAAAGGGGGTAAGATACAAGCTGCGGCCTAGAGGAACCCAAGTGCCCCTCACCCCAGCTCCGGGCGGGAGGAGAGGAGTCCGAGCAGGGAGGGGGAGGGAGCCCAGGACTGCTGAACACCCAGCCTTAGCCATCCGCACCAGGGTGCAGACACACAGTGCGTGGGGTGCTGGATATTAGCGAAAAGGGACAGTAAGACCTGTGAGCGGGTCCCCGCAGCCAGCGCCTCCGGGACAAAAGAAAAGCGAGTGCCCTTTGAAAATCTTAAAGGGACAGGGACCCCACAGCTGGATGGAAGTGCCCCGGTGCAATCAGCCCAGTAACTGGGAATCCCGGGGAATTCCAGGCACCCCAAACCCCTGGGCGACAGTGCAGCTCGGAGGCCCCTCACAGTGATAAACAGCCTCCCTCCCATTCCCCCTCCAGCGCCACTACACCACGGTGGCAGAGGCCACGCCCACAGCAACTGGGCAGAGTTTCTTTCACAGCAGCGGGGCTAGAATCAGACCCCATCTGCATGCAGCTGCACAGCACAAGCTGCTAGGGGTTGCTGTTCTCCCAGGAGAGGAAGGCCACAACTAGCAAGAAGGGACGTTCTCCCAGCCAACACACGCACCAGCTCCCCACAACTACCTCTATCGCTATGAAAAGGCAGAAGAATTTGATACAGACCAGACTAACCCAGACATCCTCCCCTGAGAAGGAATCTGGGGAGATAGACCTAACCAATCTCCCTAAAAAGGAATTCAAAATAAAGGTCATAACCATGCTGATGGGTCTTCAGAGAAATAGGCAAGAGCAAAGGGATGAAGTCCGGAAGGAGATTACAGAAATGAAACAATCTCTGGAAGGATTTAAGAGCAGACTGGATGAGGTGCAAGGGGCCATTAATGGAATAGAAATCAGAGAACGGGAAAGCAGAGAAGCTGACACAGAGAGAGATAAAAGGATTTCCAGGAATGAAACAATATTAAGAGAACTGTGTGACCAATCCAAAAGGAACAATTATCTGCATTACAGGGGTACCAGAAGAAGAAGAGAGAGAAAAAGGGATAGAAACTGTATATGAAGAAATAATTGCTGAAAACTTCCCCGAACTGGGGGAGGAAATAATCGCTCAGACCATGGAAGCACACAGAACTCCCAACAGAAGGGACCCAAGGAGGACAACACCAAGACGCATAATTAAAATGGCAAAGATCAAGGACAAGGAAAGAATTTTAAAGGCAGCTAGAGAGTAAAAGGTCACCTACAAAGGAAAACCCATCAGGCTATCATCAGACTTCTCAACAGAAACCTTACAGGCCAGAAGACAATGACATGATATATTTAATGCAATGAAACAGAAGGGCCTTGAACCAAGGATACTGTATCCAGCATGATTATCATTTAAATATGAAGGAGGGATTAAACAATTCCCAGACAAGCAAAAGTTGAGGGAATTTGCCTCCCACAAACCACCTCTTCAGGGTATTTTAGAGGGACTGCTCTAGATGGAAGCACTCCTAAGACTAAACAGATGTCACCAGAGAAAATAAAAACACAGAAAGAAAGCAGACCAACCAAATACTAACTAAAGGCAAAAAATAAAATCAACTACCCATAAAAGCAGTCAAAGCAAACACAAAAGAGCACAGAATAAAACAACCAACATATAAAGAATGGAGGAGGAGGAGGAATATGAAGGGAGAGAAATAATCACCAGACAGTGCTTATAATAGCTCAAAAAGCAAGTTAAGTTAGACAGTAAGATACTAAAGAAGCTAACCTTGAACCTTTGGTAACCATGAATCTAAAGCCTGCAATGGCTATAAGTACATATCTTTCAATAATCACCCTAAATGTAAATGGACTGAATGCACCAATCAAAAGACACAGAGTAATAGAATGCATAAAAAAGCAAGACCCATCTATATACTGCTTACAAGAGACTCACCTCAAACCCAAAGATATGCACAGACTAAAAGTCAAGGGATAGAAAAAGATATTTCATGCAAACAACAGGGAGAAAAAAGCAGGTGTTGCAGTATTAGTATCAGACAAAATAGACTTCAAAACAAAGAAAGTAACAAGAGATAAAGAAGG